AGTCAATAAGTCAATGCTCCATTAAACGTCAGTTTCTCTATCTAGTCTGTGGCTCCATTATAAAATATTCGCTAGAATCCACTATAGTTATGATGTTATAGTCTGTGTTACAAATTAGACTATAAAAAAGGAGGGTATTGAATATAGCAGTTTATATGAATTTGTACTATATTGGATGAATATTTTTACCATCTGAAAAGCATATGGTGTTTTGTGTAAATAAAATAGAAGCTATCCTTGAAAGTATTTGTAAAATGTAACAAAATATAACTAGGTAGGCAAAATTTCTGAATATCCAATAAGATACATAAACACAATTCATCAGTGAATGAAAGTTGTAAGAGCGAGTGAGACGCATGCACATCTTTCGTTATTTAGACACCAGGCGGTCAAGTAGGAGGGGCCGATACATCATTACAGCCAATATTTTTAGATTCAGTTGAGGCACGCCTAACATTACCAAAAATTAATTTTTTTTTTAATAAGTATTTAAGCATTTTTCATATTTATTTTTGATTTTGACTGCCTCGTTGGTCTAGTGGTTGTAGTAGTGTGACAGCTGATGAGGTCCTGGGTTCGAATCCCGAGTTGGGACAAAAAAAATCAATTTATTGAGTTTTTCCGTCAAAAAATTCTCAGCAACTGCCCGGAAGAAGGAAGGAAGGAAGTTGGCGGTGTCTTCCCTCCGTATCTCGCAAAGGACAAAGCCGTTGGTTGGTGATGGTTTTTTCGCATTTAATGTCAATGACCTTACCACAAACGTTCAGTTTAAGTAAACCTCCAAATACAAGTTACTGCCTACTAATGCAAGATCAGCATATACTGGTGATTAGTAAAATACTTGGTCGATAAAAGAAAGATAAAATAACAGCACTTCTTATTGCCACTCTTTCATAAATAATGCCGTCGCGTGTCGCACATTTCTAAATAGTAAAAAAATGTGAAACAGAAAATGGTAAGTAGGTAAATTACCATTCGTTTCAGATTATTGCTTTTGTGATTTCGATTTTTCCTTCATACTTTTAAGGGATTAAGACCGTCTAATGTGCTGTAGTTGAATAAAATTACATGTTAAATTCTATCTTGCATTATAATGAGTTGATAAACAGTTTCTAATAAAAAAAAATTGTGCCTGCCGTATACAGCAACATCTTCCCGAATTTAAAAGACCGAAATCAACTTATTTACAAACGACACTGCTTGATATTTACAAAATTATACTACATTACTTAGTAATTGTTTAAAATGTCTACAGTTACCTTCTAAACACAAACTAGCACGTCGTGTATACGCTGCTTTAAGTCACTAACACTTTGTGCTCTTCTGTGCAGGGCCCCCGCTACCATATGTGCAGTGTGCAATGCATACGGGCGCCATCCTTTAGGGGCGCCAAAACCCAGGGAAAAATTGCAAAAATTTCCAAAAAAAAAATTTATTTTAAAATAAAAGTTGAGAAATTAAATAGGATTAGGTATAAATACACACGAAATTTTATTAGTATATCATCCAGTTACTGCCGATTCCTATGTTGCGAGAACATGTCAGGCGGTAGTTTCTTGATTTTTCCTGTTCAGACATGAACAGTGCCCGGAGCGCTATGAAAGCGATGCATCGCCAGAGGCGGTTTTTAAACGAGTAATCCTATTAATCTTAGTGCATAAAAACAGTAATACTATCAATTTTTACATTTAAAATTATTTTTATTTTGTCAATTGTGTTGTATAATATTTTGTTTGCTATATACTTATTTTTTCTAAAAAATTAAGTGCTGAATACCCGCTGACTGCAATTTCAACGGTTTAATTTTTTATACAATGGTAAGTGTTCCCTACTTTACTTTATATTATCAACATTAACCCTTCATAGGAATCCTGTCTGTTTCCTGTTTTAACCCTTCATAGGAATCCTATCTGTTACCTGTTCCTATCTGTGTCCTGTTTTTATCTGATAACTTCAATAGATAATATAAGAAAAAACCTACAACTTCTGCATAGAACATTTTTTTTCTGTCTGTCATAATAAAGGCTCTAGAAAGCACGTACATATAGTCAAAGACCCTGTACGAGTTTAAAAAAGTAATTGGTTTTTTATCCATAACTCTCTTAATTTTCATACTATCGATCTTTTTAAAGAACCATTTTGTAGGTTTTGAAGGGCTATAAGATCAAATTAGTTTAATACTTTTTCTGACTTTATTTTTGAAAGGGTTTAAGCTGAAAGGGCTCGAACATATTGCATTTTAATTTATAGAATTAATTTATATAATTGATAGAATTAGGCGTTACTTTGGGGAAATTCATTATAATAAATATTGATATCTAATCCGCAATCATCCGCAGTAATTAAATAAAACGATGTGTCTTACCTGGATTGAAGAGCACCTCCCGTCCTCCTTCAATTGCGTGCACTGATCCCGCCACCACTATTCCAGGAAGGATACACCATCGACGATAATACGATACGTGTATCGCCTCTACGCGAGACATCTTCAGGAGATGTAGGCTCTACGGCGGCTGACCGCTAAGTGTGCGTTGAGCGCCCGAGGGCAGGGGGAGATAATCAACTTACCCACTAAACACCACCTTTAGGAATGGCTTAAATCTGACTGGAGATCCCTTACGAACCCCCTTCGAGGCGTGCGTTGAGCCAAAACAACTGCTATTTATACACGCTGACACAACTGCTACCCACCAAAGTAGCAAGCGACCGCGTCGTGCGATAATAGACCTGCGACTAATTATCATTATTATTATTTTTAATGTTATTAATATTATTTATTTTATTTAAAATTATTATTAGAGATTAGCCTTAAAGACATTTAAAAAAGGTGAATTAGAAACATTTGTTTGTTCATTCAGCAGTGCATTGTTAAAATTACTATTTTTTTAAATCTCCAACTGTTCCATACTTGTAATAAGGGGCACACTTTTGCTGCGAGGTAGCAAGTTTCGATTTGACTTATTTGGCCTGTATTTTGTATAATATTTTAATAAATACTAGTTATCGATTATATTTAATTATATAATATTCAGTATCGTGTTGAAATTGAGCTGAATATATAAATCATTTAACAAAATCCACTACACATCTATATGAAATGATTATTATTCATCACAAACTGATTTAGTAATTAGGAAATATATTTTCGTATATATATATAAAATATATATATATATATATATATATATATATATATATATATATATATATTGTGTAGTAAATTATATTTATTTAAAATAGATTATTTTTCACTTTATGAACTATGATGGCCACATTCGGTATTGGACGAAAATATTCAGAAAGTACGAGTTTTAATGATAATATTACCTTAATATTATGTTAAAAATACTCACAGATGAAAAGTCACGTTGTTTTTTTGTATATTTGACGTTTTTGATTGCTTTTTTTTCAATGTAAATACACTGCAATTCGGAATTTTGTCGGACCTCGATTTACTGGCACTTCGGAATGGCGCACGACGCGGAGCAACTAGTTTTATATAACGGGTAAGAGTCGAACTTTCGTACCTTTTACAGAGGGGTATGCCTTGCGATGCCGTCTCCATTGGTTTAATACTCAAAATTTGTGAGTAATGAAACACAAGTGAGTTCAGATGTAATCGGTTTTAGTAAACATAAACCGATGTTTATCGGTTATTAAAAAAAACGGTTTCTTTAGGTTTTTCGAAAACTGGTTCACATCACTAATGTTAATTCCACCAGCACCACCAGCATCCCTATATAAAAAAGTACTCTGTGACCACCAGCACAAGCACAACACATCGACATTAGACGTGGGTCGTTACGTCATTTTCAAGAAACGTAACGAAACCAGTGACTTGATCGGTGTCACCTGTTTCAAAACTAGTGATTTTTGTAACTGGCTATTTTTATTCGGCTACTGTGATTGTTTGCATAAATATCACCACCAACTGTACAGTTACACAGGAAACGAAAATAAATTTAATCACAATCTGTGTTTGTAGCTATACAGTAACTGTATACTGTTAAATCAATAAATAAACTTCCCTTCATACTTTATTCAGGTTTAGGACTGACTGCATTAAATGTATTTATGATTGATTTGCGTTTACTATGACACTAAGATTTTCATAAAATTATTAATGCAGGCATATTTACAAGTCAATTTGATTGTATATACAATGATTATTGATATTTACAGTTTATTTACACTTTTTCAACGTTTTCACTATCATTTGTTTTTGTACTTTTATTTACACTGTACAATTCATTTGTTTGTTTGTTTGGCTATTTACACACAGTTTTTAAGTTTTATAATATTATAAACATTTAAATTTTTTATACACATTTTTTAGTTTTATTTTAATTTTATGAATAAACGAGTTCATGACTCCGTCAAAAATGTTTTAAAAATTATTTTAGTTCAATTCAATGTGACTCGCTTCCCGGAATCGCAAACTTTTGAAATTATTTACAAACAGAGATTACTCTATTTTATTGTCTATGTCTATAGTCTTACGTATGAAAATTAAACGTACAATAATACTGTTACTTACGATGTTTTGTTTATTGTTGTATGCCACATGTGCGCTTTGCACTCGACCGACCGACAGTCGACTCCCGCAATAATCATGGTTAACAGTAATCATAATCACGCATTTACAAAAATAACTACTTGTAACATGGCTCGAAACTAGTGATTTGGTTACGTGCCGCGTAGCCAGTTACTGTATCTAGTGACGTGAAATAACGCACACGTCTAATCGACATCCACAGAGTACCAAGTACCTTTGTATAATGAACATAACAACAAATTTATTACCTGTCTATGACAGTGTATGACAGTGACAGTATGACTCCGCTGACTCCGCTTTTAAATAGTTTTACAATTTTACATTGATGTTGGTGTTATATATGTATATTTATTAGTTTCAGCACCAGGAAAGTAATTTAAAACGATGAAATATTTATAATGATCAGTTTATGACATTATTCAAAAGTGAAGATATTATAAAAAAAATGAAAGATCAGGGTGACTTATGTTCAAGATATATAAAAATATTTATTGTGGTTTCTTGTTACTGGTGAGCCAAATATTTGTTTGCTTCAGTTTTACAAAAAAAGCAATATTTAATACCATACTAATAAAAGTTAAAACTAAAAACTTAAGTACCTAAAGATTAAGTACCTATATAGTTTTTTTTTAATATCATAAGGTGACAAATGAGCACACAGTCCACCTGATAGTAAGTGGTTGCTGTGGCCCATAAATATCTAAATCTATCCTCGATTACGAATCAAAATGCAGATGCGTTGTTACCCGTGAGGACTAAAATGGAATGCCTAGTTTCCAGTAAAAAGTATGTTGTATTTATTTATTACTAAAAGGCGTAAATTTCTTATTAAACTATTATATTGACATTTTTCCACACATTTCTATTTTAAATCAAAATTATCATTCATACAGTACAAAATTAATATAACTTACCTCAATATAATGATTTTCTCGATTTAACAAATTCTTAGAGATCCCCTGGAATTGACCTTAAGAGTTAATACAAAATATATTTATACATTCTGTATAATATTTATTAATACCTTTTTATAACGATTTCTCAATTAATAGAAAGTATAATTAACCTCACCATAAAGTATTGTACCAATCAATCTAACAAGAATTCATGTTTCTACACATTCAATTGTAAAACAATCCAGGAATTCAAACTTATAATAATTTAATGTTTAGTGGTGGAAGGCATTTATTACAATGTGCTTTACTTTTTTTATGTTTGCTTACCTTGCTAAAACAAATCTTAGATCAACCAAACGTGTATATACAGTAGAGCCTTGATAATCAGAACCCACAATAATCCGAATGCTTCTATTATTTGAACGACCACCTGCTCAATGTTTCACAGAATATGGCAATGCCGATCGGAAGAATATCTGCAGTTGATTGACTAAAATTTCACTGTTCTATAGATGCCGCCTAGCTGTACAACCCTAATTCAACGAATGAGTCAAGAATTATAAGTTTTTGGTCAGCAAGGAGTGGGTTCAGAATGCACATTATTAGAAATTATTAACATCATTAAAGATTTGATGAAGCTGTATTTTCTCTGGCTTAATGTTGGCAACAAGTGTCCTCAAATCTGCTCAAAAAATTTAGGAAACCTCTTTGGCTTTTGTTACTTAAACCGGAGGAAACTTCTGGCCATGATCTGGGTGACTTTGACCCTGAAGAAGATATAATATCTGCCTGCATACAATAATCCAAATGCCTCATGAATCCGAGCAGGGTGTAAATTTTGGGTGATCAGATTGTCAAGGCCCTGCTGTATAACAAACATCATTGTAACAAATTACTTTTTTTATGAATATTTTCTAATCCCCTTCAGATTTGTTATGTCAAGGGTGTACTGTATATGTTATAAACAAAATAGATTTTAATGTCCTTTACAATTTAACTATCTGTTTCAGGATTATATCAATTGCTACAGTATTTGTAAATAAAACATTATTAAGTAGTGACTCAGTTAAATTAGACGCCCCTCTATTTATTACTTGGTTTCAATGTGTGGTATCCTTCGGTATATGTTTTATGTTAAGTAGAACCGGTGGTGTTCCACATATATTCAATTTTCCAAAAGGTTCACCATGGAGTTTTAAAGTTGTAAGGGAGGTAAGTTTGTAGTACAGTGTAAGTATAACACATGTTTACATTTTTAGGCATGTGAAGCAACTATGGGAAATATCAGAAAGCTCTCAACTTCTGATATACAAAATCAAAGCCATATATGCACAGACTAGCAAGGGAGGTGTGACGTCTAGTATTGCAGTTCCAAATGTTAAGAATGGCATTTATAGTAAATTTTCACTACAATAAATGGGGTTCAACACCAGCTGTTGCCATGAGTAGTTAATGAATAAGGATTTTTTATTATTTTAAGGGGAAAACATTTTATTCAATTATGTAAAAATTTTTAAAATTATTTCTTGCATTTTGGTATTAAATTTTGAAATAATTCACTATAAGTTCTTGCGTAAATGGATCTGTCTATGTGGTAATGGTATAAAAGAAAATGAAATTATGTTAGTTCCTAAATGCCTCGTAGTCTACAGACAAATATACATATGTTGTGATGAAGTTAAACATTTTTGTTTTAATTTTTACACAAATGTTTGATTCTGTTGGGGTTCAAATTGAACACCTGTAGGTTAGTTGTCAGTTATCTTGACCATTAAGTTATGCAATCTGCAATTGTCCACATGTTACATCACATTGCATTTTACTCTTCGTTCTTTGGAAGGATAGACTTTATGTATTGTTTTCCTGGTGCTTCAGAAAAGATACTGCAATAATCAGCCACTACTTTTACAGACAAGTGTCACATTCATGACTGAAATGTGTAGTAATTACAATACTGTGACTAGCATTTTATATTATTTAGGCTTATTTCATGCCTTTTGAATAACTGTTTCAGACCAGTTTAAGTAAATGTATCATTAATAAAAAATACTGCTATGAGACGAATAATAAAAATTAATTTGTTTTTTAAGTAATTTGAGAGAGAGTAGAATAATAAGTAATAATTAATTTGTTTTATAGAAAATAAAACAACATGGGACAGACAATGGCTTACTAGTAAATTTTTAACCACATAAATAATTTCCAAATAATCGGACCGCTTAGTTGAGGTACAATAATATCCACTACTCCATATCCGTGGGTGTCTTAAGAGGTGATAGATGAAAATAAGATGGAGGAATAACTAAAAATAAAAAACCGTGGTTGGCAACCCGCTTGCCATTGCCAACTATGGTTATTATCCCCCCTATGAGGCAATGTATGGGTAGACCTATATTCAACAGTGGACTTTTCATAGGCTGTAATAGTAATTAGAAGCTACCAACCGACCAGGGCTCTTGTCATTACACATTAGGGGACATAATTGCCACAACCTCTTCGGGCGACATTTCTATAAACACTGACTAGTGTGGCCAGCAAAATGGTGCGCAACATGCCGCTCCTTTTGTCCCCAAGTGTATCCAAGGCTTTAATTACCCATATCTGATGAAGCAATAAAGCTAAAGGTAGGTTGAAGAAATGTTACTTCAAACACTACTAGAAACATCCACAATTATTTGTTTTCCCTCCAAAGTTAATCCGCATGTTATTACTTAGTCAGGTATTTTTAATATTATGGTAACCTCTATTGTTCAAAGCATGATTTAATCTGCAATGGAACGGATGAACTACCTATAATTTTAAAATGAGACAATATATATAACTTATAATTAACTCCATTTTTAGGTGATCCCCCTATCAATTATGTTCACATTAATGATTGCGACGAACAACATGTGCTTGAAGTATGTTGGTGTTGCATTTTACTACATTGGCAGGTCGTTAACAACAGTATTCAACGTTGTGTTCAGCTGGATGCTGCTACGACAAACCACATCTTGTAGATGTGTTTTGTGTTGCGCATGTATCATATTTGGATTCTACTTGGGAGTTGATCAGGAGAATTTATTGGGTAAATAACTTTTTGTTAACTATTTTAAAATAATTTAAAGACCCGTAGTAACTTTTTATACGTGGTAGAGCCATGAGCAGCTATATTATGGTTGTAGCACGAAAGGTTCGGCTGGACTGGGAAAGGACCACGCTCTCACAGAATACCAGCGTAAAATAAACCCGAGACTCTTTTACTGGAATCGAGACATTCCATCTTAGTCCTCAGTGGTGACAACGCATCAGCATTTATATTCTTAATCGAGGTTAAATGTAGATGTCTATGGGCCACAGCATCCACTTACTATGAGGTGGACTGTGTGCTCGTTTGTCACCCTAATTCTGTAAAAAAAAGCTTATGGGCTAAGCGCATGCTGTAAATTTAACAGTACGTGAGCAACACGGTTTTTTTGCCACCCGCACTAATAAAATTGTAATACTAATTAGTGCTGATTTACTACGTGGTCGGCGATGTAAATAAAACACCGTGAACAAACATGCGTGTCTTTCAAATTTAAAATATTAATTTCGTAGATATGATATATCTACGAAATAGGCGTAATACGTTTTTTTTTTATCTGGTCAATTAACCGATTAGATCATATTAGTAAATTCTTTTAGTAAGTTAACAATAACAATTATGCTAGTACATGGTGAGTCAAAATGCCGATTAGATTAGAATGAGAAATCAGAAATCAGAAATATTTATTGACCATAATATAACAATCGTTTCAGGCAAGTCATTGGTTACAAAAGTTTTTATAAATTTATAAGATTAAATTATATTATTGTATCTTAATTTAGTTACATTGACGCTTTACGTCATAGAATTAGGTAATTTATTTTGTTTGTACGTTACACAAGAATGATGATTCCATGAGTTGCATTGACATGTATTCGCTTAATTTGTAAAATTGGTTGTCCTCAAAAAATATACAAGTTTCCGTTTAAATTTGCTATAGTGTATTTGGTAATTTGTTATACATCAATATTTTTGAGTAACGCCCCTGATTTTTTACTTTCACTAATCTATTCATGGGTAGAACACGTTTTTCATTATTACGTAGATTGTGCTGATTTATGTTTTTCTTTTTCAGTTTTTCTTTATCCTCATGTACCTCTTAAACTATTATATATATAAAGCGAAACCACTGTCATTATTTGGTCGTTCTTAAAATGTTTTCTTGCCGGGCTACTTTTTTTAGACCATTGATTATTCTTATAGATTGTTTTTGACATTTTAAAACTTTTATAACATCCGGAGCATTACCCCAAATGGTAATGGCATATCTTATTACAGAATGAATGTATAGCATAGTACACAGATATGAGTGTCTTTTTATCAAATAATGGCTTTAGCTTAAATAATGCGTAATTACCGCTAGCTATTTTCTTACAAATTTTTTCAATATGAGCTTTATGGTTTATTGTGCTATCTACTGTATATCCTAAAAATACATTTTCTTTTGTATTCGAGTTATCACGAATGCCTAGCCTCGGTTGGTAGTGCATTACAATGCTTTTATTAGAATTTAGAATAATACCATTTGCGCCAAACCATTCTTTTAGCAAGCTCATAACATTGTTAATTTTATCGTCTAAATTTGATAGACTTTTGTCTCTTAAACCAATATGTATATCATCTGCAAATAAACTTAAATGTGTATAATCTGGTATTGCATTGCCAAGATCATTAATATAGATCAAAAACAAAACAGGACTAAAGATCGAGCCTTGTGGTACTCCAATCGACACATAACTCGCTAAAGAAGTTTGCTCATTTACTGAAAGAATTTGGCTACGGTTACTTAAATAAGTTTTGATCATATTTAGTTCAGCTCCTTGAAAACAATAATGCTGCAATTTTAATAACATTACATCATGTCGCAAGCAATCAAAAGCCTTTGATAGAATCAGGCGTTACTTTGCGGAAATCCATTATAATAAAAAATAAAAATATAAATTTCTTTGCAACTTTCCGCTAAACATATAAAATGATGTGTCTTACCTGGATTGAAGCGCACCTCCCGCCCTCCCTCAATTGCATACACTAACTCCGTCACCACTAGACCAAGCACCACTACTCTCAACACCACTATTCCAGGCAAGACACACCATCGACGATAATACGACACGTGTTTCGCCTCTACACGAGGCATCATCAGGTAATATAGACTCTACGGCGGCTGACCGCTAAGTGAGCGGCAAGTCGAAACAGTTGCTATTTATACACGCTGACACAATCGCTCCCTACCAAAGTAGCGAGTGACCGCGTCGTGCGATAACAAACCTGCCAACAGTTATTATTATTGTTATGATTATTTTTAAATACTATTATTATTATTGTTTTGAGTGACCGCGCCGTGCGATAACAAATCTGCTACTAATTATTATTATTGTTATGATTAATATTTTAAATACTATTATTATTATTGTTTTTTTGATATTATTATAATTATTTATTATTATTAATCCTAAAATTATTATTAAACATTTGCCTTAAAGATGTTTAACAAAGGTGAATTAGAAACATTTGTTTGTTCATTCAGCAGTGTAAAAAGTAAAAAGTAATAATGGTAATTATACACTGCTGAATGAACAAACAAATATTTCTAATTCACCTTTGTTAAACATCTTTAAGGCCAATCTTTAATAATAATTTTAAGATTAATAATAATAAATAATTATAATAATATCAAAAAAACAATAATAATAATAGTATTTAAAATATTTGGTGGAGCCACGTGTTTAAGGCTGCCGAAAATCTAGTTCCCCGGTCAAACCTCAAACCTATTACGCGAGATATTAACTAAAGTGGACTGTATATGCGATTGCTTCTACGCTTACGTAAAAGCGACTACTATAGCATGCGGTACAATGCACTCGCTCTTCCCTAAACTAAACTATTACTTGTCGAATCGATGAAAGGAATCCTGCTTGACTAGGAAAAAAAAACACAGATTGGAGCGGGTTAAACTATTAGCAAGCAGGTATAATTAAGGAATATTGACTCACCGGGGTTTCTTCTTCCTGTCGATCACTATAGCGGTGACTTCCGGAACACTCCGGAGAGAGGCGGTGCGCGACGATATCTCACACGAGGTGAGGCGGGTTCCTGGAGCTCGACTGCTTCCAGGCCAAAGCGGTTTCCACTAGTGAGGTGTTTCCAAACGAGCGCGCGGGAAGAGGAGGTTGTAGTTCAACGACGACTGCGGCGGGAGAAGAGGCTCGCGCATCGGTCGCGCGTGTCTTATATATCCTCGGCTCGGGTGATTACGCGATGTTCTAGAATCGTCTTCTTTCCCCTCCCACCCCACCACCCCGATGTGTCGATAGGAGGGTACGAATGATATTGTTTGGAAAGGAATAATGATTCTACAAGTTCCTACCGTCAAATAAAAAACGCGAATGGTTTTCCGCGCAACCATCTCCCCCCGCCCTTGAAGGATTTCCTTCAAAAAAAATAACTAAACAACTAGAGCTAAGATCGACTAACAAATAACTAACTAACGCTAAGATTACCTAAATTAAACTACAATTTCAATCTAGAAAGCTAATTTAAATTATGGAAGAGGCAAGGGGCACAAACGGATAACAGGACGTAGGTAAGACCCAACCGTGGTCTTAACGCGAGCTATCCTAATTACTCCGTCGGAACCGGGAAAGACCTCCTCGACGATTCCTAACGGCCAGTGGAGAGGCGGCGTATTCTCCTTAGTGAGCACAACTACGGTTCCTACAGCTAAAGGCTCTGTCGCTGTGTTCCATTTTTGCCGAGACTGCAAAGTATGCAAGTATTCCATCCTCCATCGTTTCCAAAACGATTGCACTAACCGATCTAATAATTTGTGGCGTGTGGAAATGCTAAGTCTGTTCTCATCCATATCCGCGGCGGGCAGATACCTTAGAGGCGTTAAAGTCAAAAAATGTGCTGGAGTTAGAGCCAGCGGTTCCGAGGGGTCACTAGATAACGTCCGACAAAGTGGGCGGCTATTCATTACGCATTCAATTTGAGCGAGCACCGTACTTAGCTCTTCGAAGGACAAAATTTGATCTCCTATTACTCGGTATAAGTGGCTCTTTAGACTTTTAATATTAGTCTCCCAATTGCCCCCAAAATGACTCGCGGCTGGGACGTTCAGAGACCACTCAATGCGGTTCTCGGCTAGAATGTGAGCGAACTCCGAATTATAATACTTGCTAGCTAAGAGCTCGTGTAGTTCCGATAGAATACGTTTTGCACCGACGTAGTTCGTACCGTTATCCGAATATAATTTACTTACAGGGCCTCTGCGCGATAGAAATCTTTTAAATGCACCCATAAAGCCTGCTGTACTTAGATCACCAACGAGTTCTATATGCACTGCTCGAGTAGTTAGACATACGAAAATGCAGACGTAAGCCTTTGTGGATCTTATACCACGCCCGCGAGTGAGCGTGACCTTAAACGGACCAGCAAAATCAGACCCGGTGTGCGTGAAGGGCTTTACCGATTGTATCACTCTACAAGATCTAAGTTCCGCCATTTCCGGAAATGACGGCTTGGGGCGTGCCCGAAAGCAAGCTATACATCTGTGCACCCGATTGCGTATTAAACTACGTGCAGAAAGAATCCAATAATTCTGACGCAAGATCGACATCAATAAATCGGGGCCAGCGTGCGAGTTCAATTTATGATGATAATCGACTAATAAGTTCATGATATGGTCTTTACGCGGTAAAACTATAGGGTGCCGTTGGTCGAAACTCAATTGCGAGTTGGACAAGCGTCCACCTACCCTTACAATCCCATCCTGTAAAAATGGCTTAAGGCGTTGAAAGGCGCGACTACAAGCTCTATTCGATTGTAATCTTGTAATTTCTTCAGAGAAGTGCGCACGTTGAAGTTCACGTAATACTAGCGACTCGGCATAGTTGTAATCGGATGCTAAGACATACGGACGTCGCGGTAAAAGCTTCGCGAATCGACAAACGTAAATTACGCTACGCAATAGTTTCGACCAAGAGGACAAGCGGTTCGCC